CCTTAATATCGTATAATTGTTTCTACATTTTTTTTGGTTTTCTAAAATGCATTTGTATGCGGGCGCCATCCTCCTCCTTCAATTTTTTTTTTAGGAATTTGACTCTAGTTGAATTTTTTGAACAAACTTGATTTTTGATTACCTGCAGGTGCCCTCTGTATTATCATTCTTTAATGAGCTTATCAACGTCTGTTGTTTTTCTCTTTAAGATTCTGGACATAGTGTTTGAACCCGTCATTATGTGTTCCTATTGTATAATTTTTTCTAAATTTTTTTTTTTTGTTATCTAAAATGTGTTTACCTGATTTAGGCTCAGCACACTCAGCACGGATAAGTCGTTACTGTTCTTTATTTTTGCCATTTTGATCATTTTTCCTGTAAATCATAAATTATAATATTATAATAATATAGTTTTAATATATTTGAAAATAAATTATAACAAAATTATGTTAACACGGCGCATTGTATAGGCAATTTAGCTACAACAGAGTTCATTGTTGTTTGCGAGGGTGTCACATACTTGCAACGACTTAACAACTAAGATTTTTAGATTTAAATGAAAATCTCTGTACAGGCTTAACTCTGGAACTACTTATTAGATCTTCTTGATTTTTTTTTTAAAACGAAAGAGTATTTCTTGGAGAAGATTTATATGAATGAACGTTTTAGGAAAATCTACCTTTGTATTATATTATATTGGTTGCTATCGGTTAATCGGTCATGATTGTTGATTTGTATCTATTATTATTTTTTATACATATATATATAATATATACAATAATATCTGATAAGTAGTTTCAGATTTTAGTCTGTATAGTTATAGTCTGTGTATTTATATAGTTAGATATATAAATAAATGTTTGCGGGTAGTTATAGCTAAAACCGCGGAATTAATGCATAAGGAGATCCCACGGAGTCGTGTCGTCGGTTTAAAATGGAAAAAAAGTCTTTATTTTGTTTACAGGCATCTATAGTTGCCAGTATAAAATGTAGACCGTGTTATTTTATACAGCAAATAATATATAGTAAACACCTCTTTCGAATTGACAAATTTATAGGTCTTGATCTGCAGACAGAGAGGTGGGGTAGATTTCGGCTTATCCACTACAGATGAGCGACCAATTATCGCAGTGAGGCTAAGTTGGTGAGAGCTAAGAAGTTGTTGTTAGCTGTAAAATCATTACATAGTCATTAAAGATCGATAAAATAATATTTCTTTGTCAGTCCATTCCACTTATTCTAACATAACCATGGCTTACATGTGACTTCATACTTACTATTTAATTTTTCTAAAAATGTTGTCGTGCACAATTTACTAGTATATTTAATTTCAAAAGTAAAATTTAGTTCTAAAACCTAAATACTAACAATTTCAGATTTGGCTGGCGCGTCTATGAATTTTAACATTATTTTCTTGTTCCCGATCAAAGTGAATTACCACGAAGAACGGCAAATTGAAACACTCTTTTTGGACACATACTAGTTGCGGACGAATTATTCAGGTTAGGAATTATAATATAACAATTGCGGACACGAGTTTCGTTGTCATAATACTAATTGCGTACAGAGCTTTTTTTAATAAAAACTACGTTAGTTGTGGACACAAATATTTCCCTTCACCACTTTTTCAGGACTTATGACAATAGCTAAAAAAAAATTGGTAGGTGGGGTTAAAAATATTTGTGTCTTGCAAAAGAGCAATCGTTATTTTTTAAATTTTGTTGAATTATAGATTGTTTTAATTTTGTGGAAAAAATTGTTTATAAAATATTTATAGATTATCGTCATTATTAATAATTATTGTCATAGTTTTTAAAACAGTCTGTATATATGATATTCTACTGATTTCACCACGTGAATATTGTAACATTATCCGCAATTAGTATCTTATATTTGTGTCCGCAATTCGTATGTTACCTTTTTAGATTTCGTCCGCAACTCACATTGTTTTTGTCACTTTGTCCGCAATTCGGAAACACCGCTCTTTTTACTTCCAGTGATAGTCATCTACGCCCAAAAAGAAACCGGTTTTAACCATTAAATTAAATCGTCGGACAACACTACATCGCGATAGTACAAGTTACAACAAATTAAGAACGATATTGCAAAAATTAATTGCCGGGAATCATTAGTTTTTAATTGAAAATGACATTGAAGTCTGAATTTGGTGGTCAGACTTATTTGAAAGTTATAGGTATTTTAAATTGTTGGTATTTTCATATATACCCGACGTACCTGGCTGCGATCGCTCCAGTGGCGCCGAATTATTTTTTTTGTAGGCGGGCAATGGAATTCAAAATGTACCTACGACCTACCCACCACCCCCCTTCAACAGTTCAACACCCTTCAACCCAATCCAAATGAAATATTACAAACTCAATTTACCTATTATACAAATTAATGAAATTAAGTTATGTTTGAATTGGGAACAAAACTAACTAACTAAATATAAATTATATTTTGTTATTAATAACATTAATTTATGTGATTAATAAATTTATTTTGTGTTATCAGTATTCAATATTATCACAATAAATGATAATGTACAGCAGCTGTTTTTTTTGTTACCATAAAAATAATATTATATTTTCCCATATATTTAACAAATCCCGTAAAAAAACCGTCCTGAAAAGTACGGATCCTTCCCAATATTAATCCCAAAAAATACCATTTTGTAATAATATTTTCTAGGAATTTAACTAATCCCATAAAAAAACTGTCCTGAAAAGTACGGATCCTTCCCAATATTAATCCCAAAAAATACCATTCTGTAATAATATTTTCTAGACATAACACTTATCCCATTAGAAACTGTCCTGAGAAAATCTGTCCTGGAAAGTACGGATCCTTCCCAATATTAATCCAAAAAAATGTTGTCTCGATTTATATAATTCATTTAAAGGATACTTCCCACGAATTATCATTCATTCATCAAAGTTATTCCTTAATAAATTCTGTCCAAAATAGTACGGGTCCCGGTAATTATCATCCTGATTTTTACGCGGGCCCCGAAAAACGTTCCGTAGAACATAGCGCACTAATGTCGCCACCAGTCTGCGTGGCGGTCAAATCCGAGGTTGGCTCGGAGTATAATTAACCCGTATTAGATAGGGACATACTTGACTTTATTACCTTTAAAAAATTATAATTCAAAAACTAAAAATCGTATTTAAATTATAATTATACCATCGTATTCAGCGCAAATTTATCTTAAAGAATACCTACATTTCAAGAATAATATTAATTTTCTATATTTACGTAATAAATGTACATATAAACAGTAAAAATAGGTAAACTGTTTCGTTTACATAATTATTATTATTATTTACTACAGTTTTGAGACTTAACCTGTTTTTTTTGTTTTTTTCTTACTAGTCATAGTATCTTTATAATTGGCTCTTTTTACAATAAAATACATGCGGATTACTAAAAAAAACGGACAATATGGCTTTAGAAAATTCTTCCTTCTGATCAACACAACCGACCAATTGGATTGAATCACCTTGTCAACCATTGACGTAATAGTTAATAAATTATCCAAATTAAGTTCTTAATTTTTCAATGTTTCTAGTGTCGATTTTCTTAAGTAGAAATTAAACTAAATAGATAATTAGATGAATGTATCAAGTGGCCCTTTGATCGCATGTCTATAAGTTTGTCTCTAGATGAAGAGGAACAATCTTTTCTTAAGCTAGAAAGACAAATTTAAATTTTAAATATTTCCTCAATTTAGTGTAATCAATTGGTATCGTAAATACGAATCTACCACTAGAAAATAATATGCACCAGTTACCAGTATAAGTATAATACATTTATTGTCTTTATAAATAATTAAAATACTTAATTTAATAATAAAATTTATAACGTAAATACAGAATATTAAAATTATTTTTGTAATTTATTCCTAAAGATAAATTTGCGCCAAATACGAGGGTGTAATTATAATTTAGATACGATTTTTATTTTTTTAGTTATAATTTTTTAAAGGTAATGAAGTCGAGTATGTCCCTATGTAATATCGTAATATGCGTTAATTATACACCGGCCAGCCTCGGATTTGACCGCCACGCAGACTGGTGGAGAAATTAGTGTGCGATGTTTTATAGAACCAATTTTTGTGCAGGCGGCCAGCCATAGATATTAAATGCGGCCAGCACACGATTAAAGATATACAGGTTGCACATCGCCCTATAGTAAACCGCTTCCAGACTGATTTACAAAGTGACTATAAAAATCAGCTGTTAATAATTAACTAGTGGCGCTTAATGTCAACACTCAACCATATGTGTCGACATTTAGAACTAATTTTACACCTATATATCTATAATTGGTTAATTGTAATACTGCCGCTTGGAGCGCCACTGGTTAATTATTGGTAGTCATTTCGTATTTCACCTTATCAGTAGTCGATGTGCAACCTGTATATCTTTAATCGTGGGCCAGCAGAGTTTGTTCTCTTATCTCTAGTCTTCATGGATCGATATTCGATGGATCAAACCTCGATTTAAGATATATTTAAGATATTATATAAGATATTTAGGTATATCTTAAATCGTGGATCAATCCACACTCATATAGATACTTTCCACGAATTAATTCGTAAAATATAGTGATATTGTAATATTTTCACGATCAGCTGATCTCAAGTTTAAGATTTTTATCAAAATAAAATAACAATCAACAATATTATATTGATTTAGTTATCATTAATTTTTTGTCAAAAATGATCTGTAGTAACTAGTAACTTACAGACACAGATACGGTCTACCGACTAACTATATAGTAACTACTAAATACTAATTAGTAATTTTATTCCGCGTCTACGCCAGGAGCGGTACCTATGGGAATTCAATCGAAAATTGTTAAATAGTATTTATTTAATTACAGTATTTAAATTTAAAACTACTTTTTCTCACATTTAAAAACCAAATCATTCATAATATTATAATCAAAGACATAAATGTCGATTTTGTCACTCAAATAACTAACAATTTATAATCATGTCAATAAGCGAATTGCCTTGTGTTTACATACATAGTTGTTGTGATGATGATCCATTGAAAACAATTAAATGTAAGCCTTCATTTATACTCATTATTATTAAGTGAATAAATAACATTCAAATAAAATATTAAACAGAAATACGCAATTAGATTAATAGAGTTCTATATTAATGTGAAATATGCCATTACACTTTCAATGAGCAGGTCTTACTGCCTTAAAGATATGTACATTGTTGTGGTCATTACATAACTATAGTATAGCCAATCTGTATATTTTAAAGTTACCACTTATTTCTCATAGTTATGGCTTACTGTGTGAAAGAGTATGAGAATAGTAAAGAAGAAATAATTACAATTTTCTTTTTATTACGTATAACTAAAAATTGTGCGTGTTACAATGTACTATACTCTGTTCCACAAGAGATCATGCCCCGCACCGACCAAAACTGGTTCCCCTACGACACACCCTGTCATAGGGGAACCAGTTTCGACAGCAGGGTGACAAGGGGAATGCTCAGAATCGGCATGATCTCTCATGGAACAGAGTATAGCATGAGTTATTTTGTTCAACACGTGTATTAATAATATTACAATTTAATAAGTAATAAATTTTATGTATCATGTATTATGATTTTTACAGTAATGAGGAATGATGAAAATATTGAAATTTGTAACAATGAAGGAAATATTTTATCAAATCATTGGACAATTGACTGCAAATATTACACTGCTGATATAAATTTGTGTACTTCCGTCAGTTTAAATGAACTATCCGATCAATTTGTACATAACATTAATGCTATAATTATTCTTTTCAACATTGATGAAGTAAATATTTTACTATAATGAACTGTAATAAAATAATATCTTGACTTTTGCCTGTTTTAGAGCAATATTATAGAAACCATGAATAAATGCTTACCTTTAGTTAAGAGAAGTCAAGCTGAGGTTTTGATACTATTGAGTGAAAAAAACATAGAAGGTCACGTCATGTCCAATAATGGTACTAAGAGTAAAAATGTATTTTAACATAATAAAATGAAGAATTTCTATATTTTTCATAATTTTTTTTTATCTTTATTGAAGTATTTGAATGGTGTAGAAAAAACTATTTTGAATTAATTGTGCTGGAAGAAATTGCTGATGAAATGGATACAACTGGAATTGAACGTGTTAAACAAGCCCTTTATGCACATCACTGGCCAAATCTTAAAGCTAAATGTATATAACTTAATATTAACTTGGTTAACTTAATTATTATTTACATATCTTATTATGTTAAGGTCAAATAACAAATCCTAGTACAAAATCAATAATCGAAGATAGTGTAATAAATTCGCAATTAAGTGGAGGATTATCAGATTTAAAAATGGACACAGAACAAGAAGCTGAGTTGGATAGCAATTTATTTTGTAACTATAAAAATCAATATAATATAACAATAATTGATTTACTAAACATTTTCACTGTACTTTAGCTGAGATGTTTGAAGGAGATTTTAATTTTTTCAAAACTATTGACAAGGTAAGAAAGTTAAAAGAACAAATTTCTGCAATGCCCGATGAAGAAAGAAAAGATGCTGCTGAAAAGACATTAACAGAGTGTTGGAAAGCATTTTTTGGAGATGATGTAGACATTTAATTATCATATTTTATTACATTATTGAATTTAAAAGTATTATGAAAACATTTAAATATTAACCATAATATAATACATTATTATAGTATTATAAAATTTAACAATATAATTTATTTGTCTAATCTACAAATTGGGTTATCTTGTACCATTTGTAAATTAACCCTCGGGTGAACTAGATCTCTAATATTGTTAATTTAATATTTAATCATAATTAGTCTCTCTAATGATAATCCCCAAGCTATAACGTTTACATTTTCTGGTAAGCCCATTGGTAATAGCATTTCAGGACAAAACATTCCAGATTTTCCAATTTCAATCCATTTTTTTAGTCCTTGATGATAACAAAATATTTAAATACTAGGTGCTGTATATGGATTGTAAGCACGTTTAAATTTGATTTCAGTCATTCCTAATCGTTCAAAAATCATGTGTAGAACTCCAATCAAATCTCCCAAAATTAAATTGTAATCAGCTATTACTCCTTCTACTTGTTGAAACTCTGCCAAATAGGTAGCATCCAAAGTCTCATTTCAGAATACTCTATCGATACTAAAGTACTTAGTCGGTTTAAAAATATTTAGCTAGGCCATACAACATACGAGCACTAACAGCTGTAGTATGAGTACTCAAGACATTTTTCTTAGCTTCGTCCAAAGACCAATCATAGCCATATCCTTGACTACAATAGCCACCTTTAGAATGCGTTATAAAGGTTCACCTCATAATTACCATTCAATAAAACTAATTCTCCTTCATGAGTAAGTTCCCAATATTTGATTATTACTCGATCAAAATATATGATATGTCCCAATGCGAATATGTTGATAATAACACCTAATATATTTTGATGTTCAGTAGTATTGTATTCTTTACTTATGTCCCTAATGGAACCTAATGGACATAAGCGCAACTAGGGGGGGGGGGCTTAAACCTCCCCAAAACTTTCATAAAATATTAACAAATCTTCAAAAATTAAATTAAATTTTCTTTTTTTTTGGAAAAAAATGTAATTATTTAATTTTTTAATTTTTATTTAAACTTTTTTTTTATATTGCCTATGATAAATATGGTAAATATCATAAGCTGTCTGTTTGTATTCGTTTTCTGGAAACAATTTATGTCGGTATGATAAAAATTATTTTGAATTTGGTAAGATTATTACACACAATTTTATAGTATATACCTATGCACTGAACTATAACAGAGATATTTAATAACAGAATAAAAATCCCCGACCCCAGACTGCAATATTACTGACAACCACATGTCCACATGGCATTTTTAAAACGTAATTAGTGTATAATTATTACATTCCTAATATTTAATTACAAATATATTATTATACTTATATAATATAGACATACTTTTCATTAAAAAAATTGATATATAATAAATCAATTCAAAAATTAACAATAATATTGTTTTGTTTTTTATCACAATGTGAAACAACATATGTTAATAATTCTTTTAAAAGATTACTGATTAGTGATTAGGTACCTAAATGCATTAACTATTTGTTTAACAATAATTTATTTTATTAGATGATATATCGATCTTTGAAATATTTTTATTTTACAATCTTTTAAACATTGTAACTACTATCTACCTATATTAAGTAAGACTTGTAATATCTATACATTCTACTTCTAATAATAATAATTATTATTATTTACATATCATTAAAATATTATTAGGAAACGTAGGTAATATTTTATTTAAGGATAATAATTATATTATAGTATATAATATAAAGGTATTAAGCAAAAAATATTATTGCTAATGTTTGAAAATTATAATATACATATATTAAAAAATAAAAAATAAGGTATAATTAAATCCCTACCTAATTGAGTAAATAAATAATTGATTTTTTTCATATTTTTAAGTGAACATATATGGTGGTGTGGGGGCATCGCCCCCAATCGTTACTTTTCATGTAATGTCAAATTTCTGCCCTAGTTGCGCTACTGCTAATGGAGCCTCTAATATCCACAAGTTTCAACAACTGCTCTGGATCCATAATTAAAGGGTATTAAAATATTAGGATCTTATAAAATATAGTTGGAGTAACACAACAATTTATGGGTTCAACGAAATATAACTTATAATAATATCATGACTTATGGTAATGATTAATATACATTTAGCAAACTATTCAAGATTCAACCGACAATCACGGGTACAGAACTCACATTTTACAAAATTACAATTCAAATTTCAATATAGAGATTATAGGGTTATTAATTATTATCAAAATTGAATAAAAACCACTTACTGCAGTGCATAATGAAAACATTACAACACAACCAGGGTGACTTTAACCGTTAATTTTTGGTTCGGTTCCATAATTTGTTTTTGAACTTTATTTGCGATAAACGTTAAATCAACCTATGTTCAACAAACGGTTAAAGATTTAACGTTATAAATTAAATGGTTCACCGAACATTTTACTAGAAAACGTTAAAATTGTTTATGTTTTTTTGAAAATTTCGCCTAAAAACTGTAAAAAATTTAAAGTTCTTGAATGATGAATCTAATAAACGTTGTTAAATTATTCGTTCTTGTACATTTAATCAAAAGAACGTTTTGAAATAATACGTTCTTGAACATTTTTAACGAGAAGAACGTTTTGAAATAATACGTTCTTGAACATTTAATGAGAAGAACGTTTTGAAATAATACGTTCTTGAACATTTAATCAAAAGAACGTTGTACAGTAATATGTTCTCAAACGCTTTAAAGTTGTACGTTCTTCAGTATTTAATCAGAAGAACGTTTAAGAGTAGTATGTTCCAATTTGTTGAATTTTTATATGTTAACGTCTGTGAGACGGAGACGCCTATAATTTCATATTACTTAGCTTTATACCATTTAAGTACTTCAGTAGGTACCCTTTAATTACGATTTACGATTTACATTGTTTATCCTCTTCAAAGTTTTGTAAAAACTAAATATTGTTAAAAATGTTTTAGATTTTTAAATATATTAAATATATTTTTTTTTTTTGAGTTAAGGCTTTGATAACTGTGTCCATTAGCCAGTTACTGTAGTGGAAAGTTATGTTGTTTGAACACGTGTACGCGTGGCTAGGATTTGACACTAAAACTCGTGTGGTCACCCATCCGGGAACTAGTGACACCGGCCAAAATCCCAGAACATGTTTGTGATTAAAGCCTTACACTGTGTTACACCAGGCCACTTTTAAGTGTTTGTTTTACGTTCTCTTGACGTTTTAGATAATATATATTATACCTATCGGCTTATCGCTATCATGATAGACATTCGTTTATATATATATATATCAAACTTTATTGGAATTTCAAAAGTCAAAATATTCGATAGTTTTTACAATAGACTAGGTAATTAAAATTAATGATATTATGTGTCTAGTGTACAATCAATAAATGAGTTATACACTTTATAATACATTTTCTATCTATACTTGCTAAATGGATAGTATAATATACAGATAATCAATATTAAAACTGGTTTTAAATTGTATGATTCTATTATACGTATTTCATTACGTTTTGTAATCTACCTAACAGCCAAATGTCGTTTTTACATGAAACTGTTTTAGTGTTTTAATGACATCGTGAGTGTGTGCTTCAATTATTAAGTATTTTCCTAAATTAATATATATTAGGTATTACTTATTATATAATAAACTATAACAACATTAATAACTATGCCAAAAATTATGAATTGTGATGATCCAGTCAGACGGTACTTCAAATATCACTCTGAAGGTGAAAATGCGAATAAATCTACATGCAAAATTCAAAATTGCAATAAAATATTAGCAGTAAGTTTCAATTAAATAGGTAACATATTAATAAGTCTTACAATTTACATATATACTATATATGAAAACGGGTGTGACTCAAAGGTCAAGTGGCAAGTACACCTTAGTTAACCCTCGATTTGAATTTTTTTTTTTTAATTCACGTATATCCAATATCCATGTTTTAAAAACAATGTAACAAAAAAAAAAATATTAATATATGTAATAATACTTTAAGGGTAATCATTTGGGTAATTTGAAGCGTCACTTAAAGGTCTTTCATGCGTTAGAATATCAGCAAATATTATTGGAGGAAGATGAAATTAGTACAGATACTACAAATACCGTTACTATGTCATCGATTTCTTCAAATTCACCTGATTTATTTCCACCAACACAAAAGAGAGTAAGATACTAAGTTATCATCATTATTTTTAAATAATGCTTACCTATATACTTTTATAATATGTATATATAATTTATATTGTATTTTGATTATCTTTGAGTATAGTGAAATATTAACAAAAATTTGTTGTCATTTGTAGGTGCACAGTGCAGAGAAAACAACGAACGTGTCAATAAAACGCCGGGCAGTGATTGACGGCTGTATTGAAATGGTCACAATTAATGGTAGACCCTTAAAGATTATGGAGGACTCTGGTTTTAGAAAAATAGTAGATCCCATTTTTCGTTCGTTTGGATTGACTATGAATGGTGACGTTGTGCGCAATCATATTTGTATTCGGGCAAGTTTAGTCCGTCAAGCTATTACTGAACAAATGAAAAAAAAATTTTTTTGTATAAATATGGACACTGCAACTAGACTCGGCCGTACTATACTTGGCATAAATGTTCAGTTTATTCATGAAGGTAGGTGCCCACAAGTTATAAATAGAAAATATTATAATAATATATTAATTACTAGCTGAATAACCTGCCTTCACGCGGACCATATGCAGGAGTCTCAGCCGGGGCATTTTTAACAGATATTTATCCCACCTTACAATCGCCTTTGTTATTATTAAATAATTACACAGCTAGTAAATGCATTAATAAGGCACACTACAATATTATTTTTCTATCAATCGTATACATTTTCCTATACTTAAGGTTCAGCATTTTATAAGTCTATAGAATACCTAATTACCCTATATATATACATTAAATGTATACGTTTAATATATATAGTATATATTAGATAACTAAGATGACGCTAGAC